AGCAAGAGTCTATCCTTGCCTGGCCACTCTCTTTTTACCTCCCAGTCTCACCCTGGAATTCCTTCCTGCCTTCATTGGACATTCATTTATGAAGATGCTATCTTATTTTCCTTGATCCTTACAGGAGGAAGAAGAGCCAGGTGAACAAATGAGGGAAGATCTGAGTTCCTGATTTGGGCTTCTAAGATAAGGCACCATCTTGCATAGAGCCAGTGAGGACCTCTTTCAAAAGTGACTGGCGAAATATCTGACTTCTCATTTATTACTGTGTCTTGGGAGGAGTCAGAAAGAAGAAACTGGGGAGGTGCTGCCCCAAAACAAGGAGGTGGGATAGTGACAAGTACTTCATGGTCCATCCCATGACCATTATTAGGCCAAGTCTTTTCTTTGTGTTCTGAGTGTCACATATTCATTTCCCTCATTCTTAATATTCCTACATTCTTCTTGGGCTCATTTTGAGAATTAAATGATACAATAAATGTAAGTGCTTAAAACAATGTGTTCCACAAATGGTGAATATTATATTCCAATATAGCCCTAAATTTATTTATTTTAAATCAACAAGACACCAGGCAGTGTATAAGAGTAATAGCTTACGTTTTTATCTCTTGCTTCAGAGTTTTCTCATATACCAACTCATCTGAGAGTTGTTATAACCCTGAAGGACACAGCATAGGAGGCCTTACTGACCTTCACATAATGAGAATGCAATGATTATTTAGATGATCAAAGAGTAGTACCAGAATTTGGCCATGACTTTCAATCACCACTTTCCCTTCACCATACTGTTTTGTTATTAATGACAGTTGTTGCCCAGCAATGAAGATTGATTCAGTTGAATCTTGCCTGCTCTCTAGTAGCCTCTGTCTCCATTTTATTCTTCCTTTGCCTCCTTCAATTCCCATAGGGAAACTTAGCAATGGCCCTCAGTTTGAAACTGAGGCTTATCCCAGTGCTTGACTTCATCATAAAAACAAGAAGTCACTCAGTCCTATGAATAGTTTCTGGTTATGTTATTCCATTTTTAATTTACCTACCAACCTTGGTTTCATCCCAGACCTCACCGCTAGACTATCACCTTGCATTGAGTACTGGGAAAGTTTTGGAAATTTATTCTCCCTAAAACCCAACAAGTTAGGTTACCACAATTTGTGGATACTGGCAAAAGATACAAGACTCCCAGTTCAGAGACAAAGGACAACATATTACTCAGTAATATCAGTAGCCAGAATATAATAATTGGAACCAGTTCCCTGGCCCCCAATTCCAACAAGACAATAAAAATAGATCCAGACAACCCTTATGTACATAGTGGGTTGTTACAGGAGATAAATCTCTGGCTTAGGAAACCCCAATCATTTAAAGGGACTGTGAGCAAATCTATCCAAACTTTGCCCTTGAAAGAGACATTACTAGTCAATCAACAAATCTTTTGCCCAGACGTGAACCCTATCTTTATGTGGCAGGCCTATTTATTATACAAATATCCTTGGAAAAATAGTTGGAAACAAAAGCTCTCAGTTCCTCTGTTCATAAGATGTACAGCTACTTGAAAGACCTACAGAGTATTGACCCCCAGTACCTTCTGCCCCTGCCTCTGGGGTTTGTCCACCTTTTCTGGCCATATGCTCAAGAACATTATTAACAGCTGTAGTCTCCCTAAGTTCATCAGAGTAACTCTATGAGGTCATAGCCAAGAGATTTTTAGAAAGCTAGGGTCCCTGTGCTGCATGCTGGCATTAGGAGTACAGGAATGTGCTTGGCTTTTTGAGAAGAAATAAAGAGTGATCCGGAGTTTTGAAGCCAGAATGGATACTACTACGAAATCTGAGATAGACTAGAGGAGACACTAACATAAATTGTATAATGATGACAAACCCACTTCTCTAATTATGGAAGTTGATGAGTCACTGTTAATGATGGTTAGTAAATTCAACCTGTTAGCTGTTTACTGGTGTGGATTCTCTTGATGTTTGCATCCTTCACTTGAGAACTATAAACACAGGTGGAGAAACACAGAGATGGCTCAAATCCAGGAAAGTTCATACCAACTGAGTTGACCTTTCCCCTTCATGTTTCACTTAAACATTCTTTCATCCTCACAACCAGCAGATGAAGATTTATTGTAGTGGTTTCTTTTTCTTTTTTGGAGAGGTTTTTGCTATAGGGTGCGTGCGCTCACCAGAAAGAGAGACAGAAAGTGAGAACTCACCCCCTGGGGGGATGACCATGCCACAATCCCTTCTCCTCCGTTCTCCTCTCAGGATCCTGGGCACGCACGCACACGTCCGGTGTGAGTTTAAGCCACCAGGTCCGGGACTCGAACTGCAGTCGATTACATGGGAGTCCAGCGACATAGCCATTACGCTAACTGCTGATCCCTATTGTAGTGGTTTCTATAAGCCAGGTTCTTAACTTTATATATTGAACTACATGGGCAAATTTAAGTACAAAAGAGAAATAACAAATATGGGGAGATATTTGGGAATCTATGCACTAACATGTTTCTAGTTGCCTCCTATTTCCAGTCTCCCACTAAGCCCAAATTTGCACCCTCTAAGGAGGCTACTAAACACCAGGGTCAGCCAGCCACAGTTCTTATGCTCTTTAAAAGACATAACCTCCTATAAATTTCAGATGATTCCCTAATAATTCTGCAACCACCTCAAAAACAAAGTCTTAAAATTTCTTTGACTGTAGCCTTATTTAGATTCACATTAACAGATAAACTTTTATTTACTAAAAAACAGAAGAGCAGAGGTTGGTTTGTAAGAGAGTTTTCCTCTTCCTGGATATACCCTCGACTTTCCCCCTACCTCTAGGTTCAAATTTCTTAAGAGTTCCACTTTGTTCCATCTTCAAGTCTCATGTCTTCAAAGATACTTCCTTCTAATTCTGGCTAATACTGACTTTGGTCCTTCAGGGCACTGATGGCATTTATAAATGCCTGAGTCAGAATATTCTATATGAAAAAGCCTGTATTACTCTCCTACTAGACCCCTCAGCACCTAAGTAGCCACTAAAGTACCACTTTGGCTTATGAAATAGCTACCTATCATATGTGTTAACCCAATAAACTTTAACATGGGCCTGAACACCAGGTTCACTGTCCAGTTTTACATATGAGGAGAGCGAGACTCAGAAAAAGTGCCTTGCGACCGACAGGTGGTGTGGTGGTTAAGGGCGCTGGACTTCCACATGGACAGCCGTGGTTCAAGTCCTGGACCTGGCAGCTTGCTTTCTCACTTTGCCTCTCTCTCTCTTTCTCACTCTGTCCCTCTCTGATCAAATTAAAATAAATAAGCAAAGTTAAATAAAATTATTCTTAAAAAAAAAAAGAAAGAAATTTTAGTGCCTTGCCCAAGGTTGCATCACTATAAAGTTCAGAATCGATGCCAGGGTTCTTTCATGCTACCCAGCCACGTCTCACTGTATTGACTGCATTATCCTGAAGGCATTGGGCTGCATTCTTGCCTCCTACTTTTCTGAGCTTCTGAAGTGCAAGGACTGAGTCCTATTCATTTTTGTAACTCCCAGCCTTTTTGTAAAAAAAGAATTATTTTATTTTTATTTTATGTTATTATTTTTAATTTGCTACAGGGCACATGTGCTCACCAGAGGGAGAGAAAGAGAAATAAATGAGAAAACAAGCCACTAGGTCTGGGACTTGAACTGTCGTTTGTCATGTGAGAGTCCAGCACCTTAACTACCACGCCACCTGCTGGCCCCAACTCCCAGTCTTTAAGATAGTATAGGGCACTGACAAGCTGAATACAAGTCAGATCTAGATGCAGTATATCCCAATTGTCCCTGGTAGTCACCCAAGGAGCATGTTAAACATACAATATCTCATACCCATAGCTATCTTGACTCCTGGTTCTCAAAGTCACCCCAGTATTTCTCATTTTAGCAATAGCCCAAGAAGACAGGAATTTTTCTCATAGTTTGATATGTAAGCAGGTCACTTTGGGATCTTGTTACAATGCCAGTTCTACTAGAGCTAGAGTGAGGCCTGACACTCTGAATTTCTAACAGGCTCCTGTGATAACAAAATTGCTGGTCCACCAACCATACTTGGAGCAGCAAGGCTAGACCAGACCAGAGGTTCTCCACCCTGTCTTCTTATTAGAACCATCTCAACACTTTTCAAAGTACTGGTGTCAAACACCTCCCCCCAATTAGACAAGCTACAGATGGAAAGAGAAGCATGTACATGTATCTATGGAAGAATTTGTATGCCTAGTATATAATAAACTCCTGTAACTCGATAATTAGAAAAGCAGACATGCCAGTTTTAAAAATGAACAAAAGACTAGTTAGGAGAGCTCACTTATTGGTCTAGGTCTGAGATAGTGATATTGAAACTATGGTCTGAGGCCAGAGAGATCAAGCTGTATGAAGATTAGGGGAAGGACAGGCCAGGGAGAGAAAACAACCAGGACAAAGACCCTATGAGGGAATGAACTTGGTGTATTAGTGAATAAAAGAGGAAGGATACAAGACATGGTTGGAAAAGAACCAGGATTTATAAACTGAAATGTAAGGAATTAAAACACAATCTGACTTATACTTTTAAAAGGATAGATTTAGAGGGTAGGCTGGAAGTAGGACTAGAAGAAAAAAGGAAATCATTTGAAAAACCACCAAAGCAAAACAAGTGAGAAGGACTATGTATTGGATGAAGATGAAGTGGACAGATGATGAATTTGAACTAAGACTGGGTGATCTATCCATGTAAGCTGTCCAGTTATATCGGCCTAAGCTGGACACAGAGTAAGTAGCCGTTTAACATGGTTTCATTGATTCATTCTTCCAACAAATATCAGAAATTCCTTGTGTTTCCTACACAGGGCTAAGAGATGGTGACCCAGAAGTAAACAAAATAGTCAGGTCTTGGCTCTGATTGAATTTCTAGTAGGAAACAAATAATTTAGTAGTTACAGTCTGGATTGTTTGAGACTGACAACTTATTATACGAATAATGATTTAATTTTCCTTAGGATTAAGTGCTACAGAAAAGAAGTGTACAGCCTAAAGGAGTGAATAAGGGATCTAATCTACTCCAGAATGTCAGGGGAGGCTTTGCAGAATATGTGCCCTTTGAACTAAGCAGGTAAGAATTAACCAGATAAAAAAAGATAGATACAGAAGAGCTTTCCAAGTATGTACAGGGACTTCAAATGAGATTCGGCATACTTTGTTCGAGCTCTTAAGAGAAGAGTCCAACATAAGGGCAGAGAATAACAGGGAGAGTTGAAGTAAGAGCTAAAACCTTGAGAGTGGGACCAACACATGGGATGGTGGGATGGTGGTTAAAGAGACTGGATCCCACATAGCTGACTGTGCATTTCAGGTCCTGGACCAGGCAGCTTGAAAAACACACTGGGCATGTGCATCCAAAAATAAAAAAAATACAAAAAATAAAAAGGATAAATGGAAGAGAAGGGATTGCAACATGACTATGCCCCAGGAGGGTAGGGAGGGGGTGCTTTCTCACTTGATCACTCACTCTCTCTCTCTCTCTCTCTCTCTCTCTCTCTCTCTTTCTCTCTCTCCCTATTTCTTAGCAAGCACACACACCCTCTGGCAAGTTAAAAAGAAAAACCTCCAGAGTGAATGACATTTTCTAAGGAATCATGTTGATTGAGAAGAGCAAAAATCTAGGCAAAGTTAATAGAACCAGATGTTTCAAGGTTGCAGTACAGTAACCAACCAAATCACAGGTAAGCCCCAAAAGCCAGATATCTGGAAATTCAAGACTATAGACATTTCAGGAAACCAATAGTTTTTTAAGTAAGAGTTTGCAAGCTTAAGTCTACACACTGATTAAAATGTCACTGTGGAATTTAGGTGTAAATTCAGAAATTTAGGAATAAATCAGTACAATTAAACATTTCAGGAAACAGGAGGCAAGTTTCTGTTCCTAATGCCATTCTCTTCCCTCATGGCTATATTGCATGCCTCATAAAAATACTCTTTATGGTGTGTTTAAATCACGGGACCAACACATGGGATGGTGGGATGGTGGTTAAAGAGACTGGATCCCACATAGCTGACTGTGCATTTCAGGTCCTGGACCAGGCAGCTTGAAAAACACACTGGGCATGTGCATCCAAAAATAAAAAAAATACAAAAAATAAAAAGGATAAATGGAAGAGAAGGGATTGCAACATGACTATGCCCCAGGAGGGTAGGGAGGGGGTGCTTTCTCACTTGATCACTCACTCTCTCTCTCTCTCTCTCTCTCTCTCTCTCTCTCTCTTTCTCTCTCTCCCTATTTCTTAGCAAGCACACACACCCTCTGGCAAGTTAAAAAGAAAAACCTCCAGAGTGAATGACATTTTCTAAGGAATCATGTTGATTGAGAAGAGCAAAAATCTAGGCAAAGTTAATAGAACCAGATGTTTCAAGGTTGCAGTACAGTAACCAACCAAATCACAGGTAAGCCCCAAAAGCCAGATATCTGGAAATTCAAGACTATAGACATTTCAGGAAACCAATAGTTTTTTAAGTAAGAGTTTGCAAGCTTAAGTCTACACACTGATTAAAATGTCACTGTGGAATTTAGGTGTAAATTCAGAAATTTAGGAATAAATCAGTACAATTAAACATTTCAGGAAACAGGAGGCAAGTTTCTGTTCCTAATGCCATTCTCTTCCCTCATGGCTATATTGCATGCCTCATAAAAATACTCTTTATGGTGTGTTTAAATCACTGGTTTGCATGCTGCATAAAATCAGTTCATGATGGGCCATCTGAGAGTCACGGCTATACTTTCTCAGCAGGGATGCTCCCGAAACGATGCTCTCAGACAACTCTGAAGTACTAAATCCATTAGATTCAGGAGGCTGTAGATGTCATTAAAATTTTCAACCTATTCACATTCTCCTGACTGACATTTAGTAAGCTTAAAATATGCTGATGTCCTCTGTAGAGAAGGACAGGCACTCAGAGAGTCCAAGAATTGAGGATCAGTCCTGTCTCAGCACCTATATTAATCTTTTCTGGGCAAGAGATTATGGACCAGCTCTGGGTTCCTGTGATGTCGAGAGCCCACAGTACCCTTGAGCAGTGGTTCCTTGCAAGTGTGATCTGAGGACCTGGGGGTCCCAAAGACGTGTATAGGATGGCCACAATATTATCTGCCCTTTTAACTGTGTCTATATTTGCACTGAAGGTACAAAATAAATAATGGACAAAACTGCTGCAATTTGAGCAGGAAACAAAGCATGGCACCAAACGGTACTGATTGTACTCTTCGCTGCCATAAATTCGTAGTAAATGAATAATAACGTGATACCTTTTCAAGCATTTTTAAAAAGCCAGCTCCATTTTAGAAGGTCTCTGATAAGGGCTGTAAAAACCAATGATTTTGCTTCACCTTGACTCTTGAGTACACATCTTCATCCCATGAGATGAGCTGGGAATTATTAGGTACCAAGCGCTTCTGCCGCCCCACAGTACACAGAGGCTGTCTCAACAAAAGCACTTGCAAGATCATTTGAGTTGTGATCATTTGAGTTGCAAGCTGAAACTAGTTTCAGTTTTCGTGGAACACCAGTTTTACTTGAATGAACACAAACAAATTATAATTATTCTGACTTAGGATTTGGCAGAGATTTTATTGAAAATGAATGAAGCAAGCCAGTCACTTCAAGAAAAACAACTGACAGTTTTTGTTGCCAGTGATAAAATTTAGTTTTTCAAGTGAAGACTAGAATTTCAGACAGCTTCCCAATGCTTAATGACTCACGATCAGTTTGGTGGTGATTGTGATGATGAATGTGATATTTTGATATTGTACGATGAAAAAAATGTCGACAACTGGGAAGTCTGTATAACTTAGTGAGCTGATACTCTCCAAATGACCATTGCATGTTGTTCGAAACCATGTGTGTGTCAAAGATCCACTCAAAGTGTGAGATAGCAGTAGATTTGAATAGAAGAAAACACGAAAGAGGTTTAACTTCATGGTAGCTGAGTCTTCTGTGTACATTTGAGCACAGATATTAAAGATATGGCTCTTAATTACTAAATTTGGGCAATGCTAAATTGACTGTCCCAAATTTTACCCTGCATTCAGGATCAAGATGGCAATTTTGTGGATGCTAAATTTGTATACACATGGCTTGTTAACCAACTTGAGAGTCATGCTCTGTGATATGGACCCACATTGAATTCAGACTGTTTAATTATATCCCTAAGAGATCATTTCTTCAGCCAAAGAAACATGATAACAAGATTCCACTGGAACACAACTGCCAACAGTTACCTGTTATGCACTAGGATGGCCGTAGCAATCATTTATGGCTAGTGTCTGCTCCAACTGGTAAGAATCTGAGTCACTTAGCTTTTATTCATTCTTTTAATAATTACTGAGCTCCTACCATGCACCAGGCAAGAGCAGATTTGCTATGAAGCTAATCAAGTAAAACCTTCAGTCCCACTTACTTAACAGGCCCTTTTCAAGAATTCCTACAGTCCTAGTGTTTACAAAGCATACCAAGTAAGATATGAAGGTACTTCACAAAATACACACAAAAATGGAGTTAAAAGTATGAGTTTGTTTTGGTACAAAACAAATTTGATATATATGCACAGATCTTTCATAATACATATGTTCCACAAAGTTTTTGAGAACGGCTCACATCTTATCCTCAGTTGGTCAAGACAATTATCTCTTCCACTCTAGACTTGCCTCATTCGTGTTGTATCTTATGTTGATTGATAGTGAATAGTCACAGCATTTTAGAAATTCAGTTGAAATTGAGGAGTGGGTTTATTTAGTGTGGGTTCAGTGAGATATTTTTTATGTGGTAGCAGCTACTTCCATGTATGGTTACATTACTGTGAGCTATGCCAGAAAAGAATGACCTTCTCCTTCCCACTAGGCCAACCCATCTAGAGTTATGATACATACAATATCCAAGGCCAGGAATTGTTTATCAATATATAAGTATTGTCTACGGTGCCTAGTATCAAAAATATGGAGAAAAGACAAGGCACAAAAGCAAGTAAGGAGAAAGACCATTCTCATTTCATAGTTCACATATGAAAGAAATTTTACCTCTTCCCAACTTTGACATTACCAATAACAGATTTTGAAACTGAAAGAAACTTTTCTGAAATATTATGAATGAAATAGTAAATTTCAGGCTGGTCCTGTAGCAAAATGGTTAAGACCTCTTAACCATTAAGACCTGCATAAGAGAACTGGATTCTACGTGGCTGACCACTGTTCAAGTCCCTACCCTCGCAGATTGAAAACCACACCAGGTGTGGAAACGTGTGTGCCCCAAATCCTGATGGAATAGAGAGACAGAGGAGGAGAGATAAAGGGGAAGAGATCATGAGGTGACCACATCCTATCGGGGCAAGTTTTCTCTTTCTCTCTCTCTCTGTCTCTGATAAGTATATGTGTCTCCTGGAAATTAGAACATTTTTAAATAAAAGTCTTTTTAAATAGAAAATTTCAAGCAGTAATGCCAGAAAAAAAGACTGAATTGTCTTTATTTTCTTTCTTTCTGCAGAAAATATTGCAAAATTGTTGTCAGTTTATTCTATTAGTTGCTAAAGAATGTCTGGTATTGAAGTTGCTTGTTCTGGTAGCAAATTTGTTTATTTTTCCTTGTAGTTATGTCAAGTTTAACTTTATATATAATTGAGGCTATGTTATTAAGTATACACAAATTTGAATTGTTATATTTTCCTGGAAAATTTAACCTATTTTTATTACAAAACATTCTTTCTATATGGCATAAGTGCTCTATAGTCTTATATCCTAGATGTGACTCTTTTTAAAGCTCTTATATTGGTTGTTTTTTTAAGCCATTCTAACGATCTTTATTTTTTAAAGGAATTATTTATTCCATTGACATTTAACTCATGTTATCACTGATATATTGAGGTTTAACTAACTTACTATCTTACTAAGAACTTTCTAAAAAAATTTTTGTCAGAATCAAGTGTACTCACCAGAGAGAGACAGAGAGAGAAATCAAGAAAGCCCCCCCCCTCCCGTGGGGAAATAATCACACTACAACTCCTCCTCCATTTCTCTCTCCTTTAGGAATTTCAGGCACACAAGCACAAGTACCCTACGTGTTTCTCAAGGTGTTGGCCCCAAGACTTGAACCACACAGTTGGACATGGGATCCAACCACCTTAATTAACATACCACAGGCTGGCCTACTGTATACTTTTTTATTCATTTTTTTATTCATTCATTAAATTGCTATACATCATTTAGATTGTGAAGAGACTACCCAGCATGATACACCTCAGTCCAGCCCAGTTGAGACTATTAGACACATCCTCGTCTTTCTTTGCTTTTTTGTCTTCATTATGATCAGTTGAAAAAAATTTTTTTCTCCATATTCTCATCTATTAGCATGGAAGTAATATTCATATTAATTGGTATGTAAGTAGTTATTCTAGAGATTACAGTATGCATCTTTGATATATCTAAGCCTAATATTCTTCACTTTCAGGACAATGCAAAGTCCTTAGAACACTTGGGCATCTCCAACTGATATGCCATCATTTGTGTGTTATTTATATCATTGTGGGAAAAACATTTAATATGTGGCCCATCCTCTTAACAAATTTTGAACTGCACAATACATTGTTGTTAGTAGGTACCAGGCAGAACAGCAGATCTACAAAGTCCACTCATCTTGCTGAACAAACTTCATGTTCATTGA